CGAGGGTCACCAAAATCATCATAAATTCAAAATCTAATAAAGCAACTGGTGTAGAATATGTAACTTCTCGATCTAAAACGATAAAAAAAGCGTTTGCTCGAAAAGAGGTGATTTTATCAGCTGGAGCCATTGATTCTCCAAAGTTGCTAATGAATTCTGGTGTGGGACCTGCGAAAGAACTTAAAGAAGCAGGTATTGAACTTATCAAAGATTTGGCCGTAGGGGAAAATCTTCATGACCATGTAGCAGCAAGTGTAATCACCTTAGAGATTGATAAAAATTTAACATTTTTTGACCATATCGATCATAGAAAAAGAGATGTTATGCAGTGGTTGGAAAGCAAAAGTGGTCCATTGGTAAACTCAGGAGGCTTGGGTGTTGTTCCATTTTTCCAGACCTCTTTTGAAAGACGTCCAGGTGTTGCTGACATAGAAGTATATTTTATCTCTGAACTGGATGAAAAAAAAAGTGGTCTTATGAATCAGTACAATCTTTTGTCCTACTTCAACAAAGTCCGTGTTTGTCCTACTCTTATTGCTCCGAAAAGTCGTGGTTGGCTTAGGTTGAACAAAACAGATCCAATTTGGGGTAATCCGTTATTGGATCCTAATTTTTACTCAGATCCTCAAGATATAAAGGCTTTAGTGGAGGGGATTAAGTTCACCAACAAGTTTACAGAGACCCAGGCTTTTAAGTCTAGTGGTATGAAGGTGGTACAAACTTCAACACCAGAATGTCAAAATCTTTTATCGGATGAAATGCAGTACTATGAATGCGTTGCCAGAAAACATTTTATATCTGTTTACCACCCAGTTGGAACATGTAAAATGGGCCCAGCCAGTGATCCTAGAGCAGTGGTGGATTCAAGGCTGAAAGTGTATGGTATTGAAGGACTGAGAGTGATCGATGCTTCCATCATGCCTATTGTGACAAGAGCAAACACTAACGCACCTTCAATCATGATAGGGGAAAAGGGAAGCGATTTAATTAAGAAAGATTGGTTGTCAGAAAATAATGACTGTAAGGACCATTTTTGTAATATTGGTAAATAGTATTATTATAAGTTACTATGAATCGATGCAGTTGTGGTTGAATATTAATCAATAAAATAGAAAAAACAATAATAATGTTCTAAAAAGTACCGTACATTTCTTACGCTGTAAAATAGTTGATTGCATTTTAAAGGACAGAAGTTACTGCCTAGATACCTCAGAGTGGTTTTCTCTGATTTGCTATTGTAGCATCCGACTTATCCATAGGGAAGCCCTAAGGCTCTGAAGAGTTGGAGTTAATTGTGGTGCTCTTCCCTAACGTCTCCTGGTCTTATAGCGGATATGTTGACGTGCAAAGCATTATCTTTTTTTGTGAAACTCAGTCGTAGCGATTCAAGGTGAAGGTTACTTCGTGTTGCTTGCCTGTTGAAGACTGTCCAGTTTCCTTAATATTGTTTCTCTTTTAAAACTTTGCCATAAGGTTCGCTGAACGAAGACCTTGGAGAGGACCAGTGATTCCTGATTGAATGCAAGAGTTGTCGATAGCCAGGGCAACCAGATGTGCGATCAGCAGCTCCGTCATTGACGTCTATTACTGAACAACTATGAAAAATCATTTACTTTACAACAAATGAGTTTCAGCTGGAATATTTGCAACTGACTAACGGAACAACTGGAGCGTCTCCGTGTAAATTTTCACACCTGCAGCCTCCGGCAGGACTGTACGTATTTCTCTCTCTTTGCGCGAATACGTTCGTATGTACATAGGTACATACGTGTAGTACACGTCGTGTACATAGATCGCCTCTATCAGCCTGACGAACACACGAGCCGAGCTCCACCTGAGGCCACATAAGTGTGGGAGCCCAGTGGCCCGTCTCTCTTATTCATGCATAAACACCGATGGTATGGAAGAAAATACACACAGTTCTCCCTCTCTCTCACATAGGCACAATAATAATGCCTAGCGACTGAAGTTGGCTCCCTGAAACGCATGGCTCGCAAGGAACATGGCCGCGAGCATTTATGATACTCGTCTATTACCATCATGCGTGCATATCATGGTAGAGCGCTCGGTTTCTCTGACCCCCTTTGCTTGGAAATGTTATTCCAACGTAGGTGAGGTCTTGGCCCAAGATAAGGTACTAACGCGATGTGGTGAAGTGCCTTATCATACTTTCTCATTTTCTTTTACCCTATCGCAGAGAGAAAAATCATGGAGCAAACGCATAACGGCGATGGAAATGCCCCCATTTTTGACCCTTTGCGATCGGCTCATGACGTCTACGCTTTCAACGCATGTGAGTCTATAGCTCTTAAGCGTAAGCGTTAGCCATACGTATAACACTTCTTGTCTGCTACGCACTAAAGCTGACTATAGGGCGGTATCCCCTCTCTCCCGAAAACGCATAAGCACGATGGAAAAAAGCCAGCGGCCTTCTTGCGTTTGCTCCATGGCTAACGCTTATGCTTAAGAGCTATAGACTCACATGCGTTGAAAGCGTAGACGTCATGAGCCGATCACATAGGGTCAAAAAAGGGGGGGCACTTTTATCGCTGCTATGCGTTTGCTCCATGATTTTTCCCTCCGTGATATGTGTCGTTCTTTTACTTTTGTACTGTTCACTGTACCAGTCAAAATGGCTATCAAATGAGTATAGGTTTTAAAAAAATGATTGATACGAACCATCTTAACTCGTCGTTAAGTTATTGGTTCTGACGTGGTTACAGGGTTTATTTGCATCAATTATTAGGATCAATGAATGTCATGTGTTATAATTTGGTAAGGTACACGTCAAAATTTGAGAAAAAAGTGTGTAAGATCGTAACAGAATGCTATCAGTACTACATTGTAAATTTATCGATTGTGCAAGGAAAACTAAAATATGACTTTGTTCATTCTTTTTTGTATGTGTATGTACATATTAAGATTAGCTGGGCAGCAGAAATGTATAATAGTTTTAACTTATAGCGTTAAAAAAACATCTGAGATTTTTTTTTCATGGATTAGATAGGCTTAAGTCAAAATGTCTCATGGCTCACGTCCTAATAATACCATCACTGATAGCGTGTACATCGAGGCTGTGACTCGTTAGCTGATTTCCATCATAATATTGCGTTAAAAAATCTATGAGAAATGAATAATTAAAGTTAAACATTTGTACTCCCTACCTACTTTTAAGCAAAATTTTCGGAAAATTTTGAGGATTAACGTTTCCTGTAATGAGACATTTATCTTAAGACTAAAAATGAAATAACTGATACCAGACACAAAAAGTGAAAGAAGTTGACATAAAGATAATATAAGTTATACGTTTTTAAAAATAGTATCTTTTTACTCAAAGCGTTTGTACGACAAACAAAACATTTGCCAAAATAGATTTTATATTTTGTTTGGAATATCCAATTTACAAAAGTCAATTTAAACCACTAAAAAAAATTTTTTTTTTAATTTAAAAGTAATCGGTGATGAAATTCGCGGAAATTTTATTTGTTAACTTTCACCTATGTTTTATTTTATATTTAAGCGTACTTTGACTGCTTAGTTTACTGATGCCAAATTGATTTTTGCGTACACAATTACGTAGTATCAAATTGTTATCATAAAATGCAAGAAGAGCTTACTTCAATTAGCTGACAACATGAAGGTCCATACTATTCTTTAAATTTAGCGTATGGATGTAAAGGAGTATACAGGAGATTACTTAAGTAACTAATTAGCTCTTATATTTTGTAACGATTGATTTACTAAACTTTTTTCGATGTACATGCTACTAAAAATGCGTGATGTGTTTTCGTTTTAGTCAAAAAAGAGTGTTGTAAAGATTACAACATTTTGCTAAAACACAATGGTAACACCTCAGTTTTAAAGCAGCAAAAAAATTTTTTCTACTTTATTACGGTTAATGCTTCAAATTTTTTCTTTATGATTAAACTTGACAAATGAAAATTATCAACTTATTGTATAATAACGAAGACATTTACCAAATTTTAGTTAGAAAAAATGTTGTCCATCGTTTAGTTAGTCCTACAAATAAATTCCGTGTATGTACATTAAATTTCACACTAGATTTAAAAAATGCTGTTCAACTAACTCTTACTACTTCTGCAGTTTTCCTTAGCTCAGTTTTATCAAAGAGGCGTGGAACTATGTACAGTACCTGACTGACAAGAACATTTTGTAACGTATCTTTCACAACAGTTTGTCGAAAAAATGTTTTAAATCATAAAATCTTAGATACGAGCATTTTTTACTCCATAAAGTGCTCCAAAAAGTTTCATTTTATAAACGGTGCAACAGATATACTTGTAGCCAAATGTACACGTTCAGCTAAAATTTATTTTTATTATATCAGCTTGACGCATAAAATTACTTAAAAACGCCGGTTGAGCTCATGATAATTACGGCACTTAATTTTTTCTTTTTTTCTTTTTATCGATAATAATTACAAAACTTATGTTGTTACGACCATTGCCAAAAAAACAAAAATCTTCTTTGTTGCAGTCATACAAAAAGCTATAATACATTCACATTATGATTTTTCTGCATCAGAAGTACATTAATCTACAAGCAAGTAGAGCGACCATGTAATTAATTTGTTTGCGTATACATAAGACAGTTTTTTTAGATGATTATTGTATTAAACTTTACAATATCAGATGCAATAAAAAATTTATTTTTTAAAGTATTTATAACAATTATTCATAAAAAAGTTAAAAAAGTCTGGAAAACTTTAAAAAGTGAAATCGCTAATAATCAGATAGATTATCTTGCTCAAACCCAATCCCTCGCATTTGCGATACAAAATTAATCGTTCTTACAATTAACGTTCTGAAAAAGTTATTTTTTCCTTCATTATCTCTTAACCAAACAAAAATCATTTGTGAATACAGATATTTCAACTCGACTATTGATTAATCATACAAAATAACACATCTCTTATGTGTTGATCCAACCAAGACGTTATCTGTCAGTAAACAACACTTAAAATATGACTTATTTCCGTACAGAGTTTGCACTTATAAGTGAAAGGAGACTAAACATTCATACTGCTTTTGCACCACATTAAATCAAGTGCTTGTTCGAATCGTAAGATTCAATTTTTCCTCCACGTGTGTAGATCTGTAATCATAACGAGTAAGTTGGATTTAATTGAGTAAAAAATGACGTGGACACCGGCTAGTGTGACAGAAAATTGTATTCAAACTGCGTTTGTCTCAACCTGCCAGCCTTCCTTTTTGACTTTACTAACTTTTTTGACACAAAAACTTGGGAACTCGAAAGATGATAAATTCAGTATTCCTCAAGTATCCAAAAGTGAGGAAAACGAACAAGATCAATACGATTTCATCGTCGTTGGTGCTGGTAGTGCGGGTTGCGTCGTAGCCAATCGTTTGACCGAATTGAAAATGTGGAAGGTATTGTTCACCTGCAATTCTTGAGGCTCTAATATCAATAATTTCAAAAATACAAGGTTAATCTGCGATACAGGTGTTATTGCTAGAAGCTGGAGATGAGCAGCCTTTGATATCAGATGCGCCAGGATTCGCAGGACTGTTGGCTGACAGTAGTATCGATTACGCTTACAATTACCATAATGAACATTCGATGCTCGATTGCTATGGTAATTCCTGCCAGGTACCACGTGGGAAAGTCATGGGGGGCAGCAGTTCGATCAATGGTATGGTTTACGTCCGAGGAAGTAAACAGGATTACAATGATTGGGCGGATCTTGGTAATCCTGGCTGGAGTTGGAAGGACGTATTGCCCTACTTCAAGAAATCAGAAGATTTGAGAGAAGTACGTGGGAACAGTTTGTCTTAATTTCTAATCAATATATAAAATACAATTATTTTTTAGCCCATTCCTTCCAGTGATCCAAAAGATCACGGTACTGGGGGATATTTAGGCATTGAATTACCAAAACCTAATAAAAACACTGATGCCGTTATTGCCTCCTGGAAAGAATTGGGTTTCAAGGAAAATGATTACAACTCTGGAAATCTGGTTGGTATCAGTAAATTTCAATTTACGATCAAGAATGGAGTGAGGCAAAGTACCAATGAAGCTTTCATCAGACCCATACGGGAAAAGAGATCCAATCTCTTCGTAAAACCCAATTCGAGGGTCACCAAAATCATCATAAATTCAAAATCTAATAAAGCAACTGGTGTAGAATATGTAACTTCTCGATCTAAAACGATAAAAAAAGCGTTTGCTCGAAAAGAGGTGATTTTATCAGCTGGAGCCATTGATTCTCCAAAGTTGCTAATGAATTCTGGTGTGGGACCTGCGAAAGAACTTAAAGAAGCAGGTATTGAACTTATCAAAGATTTGGCCGTAGGGGAAAATCTTCATGACCATGTAGCAGCAAGTGTAATCACCTTAGAGATTGATAAAAATTTAACATTTTTTGACCATATCGATCATAGAAAAAGAGATGTTATGCAGTGGTTGGAAAGCAAAAGTGGTCCTGTAGTGAGCTCAGGAGTTTTGGGCGTTGTTCCATTTTTCCAGACCTCTTTTGAAAGACGTCCAGGTGTGGCTGATATGCAAGTACATTACCTAACTGAGCTTGATGAGAAAAAAAGTAATGGTGTTCCTTCTCAGTACAATCTTTTTCCATACTTTAACAAAGTCCGTGTTTATCCAAGTCTTATTGCTCCGAAAAGTCGTGGTTGGCTTAGGTTGAACAAAACAGATCCAATTTGGGGCAATCCGTTATTGGATGCCAATTTTTACTCAGATCCTCAAGATATAAAGGCTTTAGTGGAGGGGATTAAGTTCACCAACAAGTTTACAGAGACCCAGGCTTTTAAGTCTAGTGGTATGAAGGTGGTACAAACTTCAACACCAGAATGTCAAAATCTTTTATCGGATGAAATGCAGTACTATGAATGCGTTGCCAGAAAACATTTTATATCTGTTTACCACCCGGTTGGAACATGTAAAATGGGCCCAGCCAGTGATCCTAGAGCAGTGGTGGATTCAAGGCTGAAAGTGTATGGTATTGAAGGACTGAGAGTGATCGATGCTTCCATCATGCCTATTGTGACAAGAGCAAATACTAACGCACCTTCAATCATGATAGGGGAAAAGGGAAGCGATTTAATTAAGGAAGATTGGTTATCTGACGAAAAATACTGTGAACTTGATTCGTTAAAAAATGCCAAGTAGTATTATTAAAAGTACTGCTGTCTAATATAAACTTATTTTTGAGGCTGACTGCATCATTGCAACCCTCAGGGTAAAAATATGCGAATGAACTTTCATTTCTTAGTTTGTTGTAATATGCTGATTTACTAATGAAAAAAATAACAGTAAATATACAATAATAGTCACATAAAAGTTTAAACGTTATTTCAGTGTAAATCAATATTTTGTACCCAACACAAATTGAAAGAAAAAAAAAATTTATTACGTTTTAAAGAACTGAAGGATTATTGTTTGACCCAAGGTAACGCGTATTGCTATAGTAACATAATTATGCGATCAAGTAACTTATCAGCCGATCAGAAATAAAATCATCACTAGACATTTCATCCGAAAGACAGATTTATTTTTCAAGAGTCAATCGACAGTAATTCGCGTGTCTCTCCATCTCCACAACGGAAGCTCAGTACTACAAACACTGTTGTAGCGAGCGTGAGCGCGTGTGGGGACCAGCGTCGCGCGATTACAAACGGACGGACGTACGGAGCAAATTTATCGGCCCTGGATTAATTACGCAGTTGCGTGAGCCCGCACCCCGGCGCTACTTCATCGTTCTCTTCTCCTCCTTCCTTTCTCGGCGAACTTTGGCTTGGGAGTACTTTGATCGAGCGTTCGCGTGTTGGTAGATCTTGCGGATCTTTTAATATAATGATGCATTTTTCTCTAGAAAGAGATGTTGGTTCTTTTTTTCTCCTTTTTTACTCGAGCTTGAAAGATAGCTGAGAAAAATTCTTTGTTGGGTCGTTGTGGGTTACAATTTTTATTCAATTTTTTTTCACCAAAAAGAGAGTAAAAATAAAAAAGTGTTATGTGTTTTAATGATTTACCACCAACACGTCATTTATCTTATTGGATTTTTAATGATTTCCTCACGATATTCCGCCCTCGGTTTATTTAACAGATCACCGTGATATATTACATTTGTCATAGTAATTTATCAGAACGGCAAACATTTTCTCATGCGATTAACTGAGAATTGCAACAAGCAGTATTCATAGAGTAAAAATAAAAGTGACGGCGGAAAGCTCGAGTAATTTGCTTACACAACCCACATCATCTTATCTCTGGTCGGAGCGAAGCTTCGGATATCCATATGTACACTCGCGTATCTTATCCACACACACACGACAACGAGCGAACAACTGGATTGAGCTGGTGGATTGCCGTCGTGTATTTTTTTTTGTCTCTCTTCCATTCCGGTTTTTTACTTGTTTGGCGCACAATAATGCACAGAGTGGATTATGTACACCAGACGTAGATCGATGCACTGTGTGGGACTAGTGTATTGACTTGGATAACATTAAACGGTCTTTTTTTTAAAAGCATAAAATAATTATAAAAAAATTAATTTTTTTCATCATCATCATTGTTTATTATTACTGTTATTTGTATTACTATTGTCATCATTATTATTGTTGTTGATATTATTATCATTATTATTGTATTATTGTCGCCATCATCATCATCATCATC